GCTTGGGGACCTGGGGGCGCTGTGGGCTAAACTGCAGAAACCTGTGCTGCAGGGTCAGAAGACCAAGCAGTCATAAGATCGAATCCACGCGGCGGAGTGAGCGCCCGTTGCTTGTCCAAGCTCCCGCCAACCTAGCGGTTCGAAAGCATGCAAATGCAAGTAGATAAATAGGGACCACCTCGGTGGGAAGGTAACAGCGTTCCTTGTCTAAGTCAGTGCAACCACGGAAAGATTGTCTTCGGACAAAACGCTGGCTCTATGGCTTGGAAACGGGGATGAGCACCGCCCCCTAGAGTCGAACACGACTGGACAAAAATTGTCAAGGGGAACCTTTACCTTTACCTTTAGATTGGCTTGGGCATGTTGTGAGAATGGGTGAAGGTCGGATTCTGAAAGATCTCCTGTATGGAAGACCTTAATGAAAGACCTCTGAGACTTTATTTATATAAATTTTCTCTAGAGATGTAAAATTTCCAAAAAAAAAAAAAAATCTGTTTTTTTTTTCTGGGAAAACGGGAAAAAACCCAAAATTGTGGAAGTTTTACATCTTGAAGCTTGGAACCAATCCCCTGTGGTTATGGGGGGTCCTACTGTATTTTAATGTAAACTTTTGTGAAACACCTGCTTCTTAGGACAGATGAGGTGGAAAACAGATCACGCAGTAAAACATTCATTCCAGGCTCTGAGACACAATGGGTGTCTGTTTCCATTTGACACCTGCACTGATTTATGACCTCTGATTGGTCTTCATTCATTTTGAAGTCTGGTTCCGTAAACATTTCAACAAGAGACATGGTTGGCAAAGACCAGCTCTAAGCAGTGGCCTGATGAAAGGAGTCCACAGAGGAAGACTGTGTTTTATTATAGAGAAGGACAAACCATTCCTTTAACCTTTGCTGTTGTAGTTGTGAAGGAAAATAACAATAGGTAACAGCCTAATTATTACATTTGGTAATGACTTGAGCAACCTTGACAGATATTCAATCCATTTATACAGGTGTCCCTCATGTATATACATTTTATCGCAGCTGTTTCCCTCTGTATTCATCTTCTGTAGTGTGTCTTTTCCAGAATAGCGACTTTCCTGTGAGGAGTGTCCTGGTAGACCGAAATCGTGTAGAGAGTGCAGAGGGGCAATGTTGGCTAAAAGATGGCATAGATCACATTAGCTGAGGAACTGAGTGAAAGTGCCCTTAACGGTTTTCAGCTTGTCCTGTCTGTGCCAAGGTAAGGCCAACCCCTCAATTTGTCTTTTTCTCTCATCCCCCCAAAATAATCACAGGTGACGTGCGTGGAGAAGGCCGGCAACGACGAGAAGATGCTCATCAAGATCTTCCGCTGTCTGGGCAGCTGGTTCAACCTGGGCGTCCTCGACAGCACTTTCATGGCCAACAGCAAGCTCCTCTCGCTGCTCTTCGAGGTCCTGGTGCGTCTTCGGGGTCCTTTGGCTGCTGCCTGCTCGGATAATGTCCAGATTTCATTAGACTCTGTTTTATGTTATGCTTGTGTGTTACATGGTGGGTTTGGTTTTGTTATGGGCTAGGCTAGGCAAATTGCCACGTTTCACACACACACCCCATAGGGGGACCTAAAGGTGGCTCACAACAGTTGGTATGTCACGTGCTCTCTTAAGGGCATGAAACGGGGTGGGGGGGAGAGGGAGAAGATGCAGAGCCCAGATTGCATTTCCTCCCTGTGTAAGAAGTGGGTGGCGTGTCCCCCTTTTGCCTTTTCTGTAGCCTTGCAGTGTAGGATGCAGCTGCTCCTCCGTCCCTCCGACAACATCAATGTCACCCTCTCGACGTAGTTGCTTGGGAGAGCTGCCTGGCAGGCAGTTGGGGGGAGGGGGATTCCTTTTTGTGGCATCAAGACCAGAAAAGGGAGTGAAACCTCTACCATTCAAACCATGTTTGGCATCCAGCCGGTCACTCAGCGGGTTTCTGTCAGTGGCCAGCCAGCTTAACAAAAGCACCCCGTCCTCTTCTTTCTCCCAAAGCAACCCTGATTTCTTTGTCATTCGGCTCGTTTCGTCATTCCGTCTCTCGCGGTTAAGGTGGGCAGAGACTGTGGCGTCGTCCTGGGTGGAAGGAAAATGTAGAGCTCCCAGGCCAGGCGTGGGATGGTACCGCGGGGGACGGGGGAGTGTCGGGTCAGAATTTTAGAAGCCGGCAGGAAGACCGAGTGAGATTCTTTTCTGTGCCGGGTTGCAGCAACAAGACAAGACGTCCTCCAATTTGCACGAGGCTGCGTCCGACTGCGTCTGTTCTGCGCTGTACGCGATTGAGAACGTGGAGACGAACCTTCCCCTGGCCCTCCAGCTCTTCCAGGGGGTCCTGACGCTGGAGACGGCTTACCACATGGCCGTGGCACGCGAGGATTTAGACAAGTGAGTAGCCAGGAGGTCCCGGGACTGGACCTCCTGTTTCTGAGCCCCAGGATCCATCTCATCCGATTCAGGAGACCCAGCGGGGGTGCCCTGAACTTCTTCTACGCGTGGCGCCGTCTTTGGTTTTTAAAGGGTTTATGCACCCAGGCAGAGATGGCATTTGTGTGCGTCCAGGCCTGTCTCTGTGCCCGCTCATGCCCCGCACCTTTGTGCCAGTTCGGTTTCTTTTTGGAAGCCCTTGGTTTCCACCATGGCTTGCTGGGGGGCGGTTTGAGTGGAGGGGCTACTACGTCCCTCTAAGGAAGTCGAGAGGTCCTAGACAGCTCTCCACAGCCCTACGAGGTAGGCCAGGCTTAGGGAGAGTAAATAGTCCGAAGATACCCACTGAGTTTCATGGGCACCGGGAGGAAGTAAATTTGGATTTCCCAGATCTTTGGGCAACTCTCTTGACCCTTGCGTTAGGCTGACTCTCAGATAGAGTTTGAAGACTGTTCTGGTGTTTGACTAGAGATTTCCCCTTGCCTTTCACTCTTCTTTCTGTAAAGCGGCCGCCAGAATCCTGTTGGTAATGTCCATGTTGCAGAAGTGAAGTAGCCTAATTCGCCTTGGCAAAAGGCCACTAACTAGCAAACCACCAGTCACATTACCATGTATGTGCCAGATGGTATAAAAGACCTGATTAGACGAAACCGACGTCTTCGTAGTTTGCTGCCATTTACTACCATGTGAATTAACACAGTTTAACTTAGGCCAGCGGAAACCACCAACATGATTCTGCCAGCAGGTCCTGCATTATTTTGTGCTTTGAGAGTTCAGTCTACTTAGGTGACGCACAGAGGCTTCCCAGATAGTAGCTCTGGCAGGCTCTGCTGCTCAGCCCTTGGTTGCAAACGTCCTCGTGGCTGGTACAGCCCAAAGCAGCGATGCAGTTCCTTTTCAGAAGTCACTATGTTGACATTACTCTTGTGTAGGGGGTGGTTTCCCTACCCATGTATAACAGAGAGACAGAGAGAGACAGACACAGATGAAGGCAAGTAAACAAGCAGCTGGTCCAATCTGAAGAGCATCAGGTGGCCATGGAGGTGTGATATTTGAGATCGCCCTCAGGCCCTGGTAAACATAGGGTCTGATTTAGAAACGGTGCCAGCGTCAAGCTGTTCTGGAGCTGGTCGTGGTGTGTATGGGAGACCTAGCTGTTTACCTCAGCTCAAGTTCAGGAGGAAAGGCCATGGGGGGTGGGGGGAGTGAATTCAAGAACAGCGGGATCTGAGTCAGTATTTAGAGGTTTTTCTTACAGGCACACCCTGCTTCTCCAGCGGGTTCAAGGTGCTCCCTGTCGTTCTCCTCCTCCTCCTCTTTATCCATCCTCCCAACAGACCTGCGAGATTGGTCTCTCCCAGATCCTGGTCTGACACTTTGAGAGCGAACCCCCCCCCCGCTCTTCTTTATCCATCTTCCCAACAGACCTGCGAGATCAGTCTCTCCCAGATCCTGGTCTGACACTCTGAGAGCGAAACCCCCCCCCCCCCGGCTATTGGCCAGTCCTGACCCCCTTTNACCCCCTTTGTGGTCTGGGCTCTTTGGGCCCCCTAGGCGGAGGTCCTGACTCATGAGACCCTGTTCAGTGTGTGTGGGGGGGGTGCCAGGGACCAGACCCGAGGAATACCTTCACTCCTACTAGGCTCTGGATCCTTCCTTTTAAGTGGGGTGGTCTTGAGGGCCACCCACTTTTCCCTTTGTGGGCTATTTCCATGAACCCCCCACCCAATGTTTTTTTCTAGCAAAATCAGGTTTTTTAAATGGAGAAGCCCCCCCCCCTTTTGTTCTGGTCTGCGTGTGTGTCTTTTAAATGTAGGTAGGTAGGTAACTAGATTGGTTGGTTGATTGAATGATTGATTGATTAAGGGGCTCCTGACATGCGGGGGAGGCCTCCAAACATGGCAGAGTCACTTCCCACATCTTGTCTAGGGCACAATGGGACTTTATTTTTAAGTGTTCATATTTTAGGTGCCTTTAAGCCACCTTCAGGCTCTGAGCTGCCCAGGAACTCCCATCAGGGAGAGCTGCAGCCGGAGGTTGAGCTCCCTTCCCCAAGCCAGAGAAGGTCAGGGTCAAGGCCAGTGACCTTTCTCTTGCCAGGCCTCCCCACCCAAAAGCTGTGGTCTGGCAATCCGTCCCACTTGTTTCTCTCTTTTTTTCCAGGGTTCTGAATTACTGCCGGATCTTCACTGAACTCTGTGAAACTTTTCTGGATAAAATTGTTTGCACTCCTGGCCAGGGCCTGGGCGACCTGCGGACCATCGAGCTGCTCTTGATCTGTGCAGGCCACCCGCAGTATGAGGTAGGAAGCCACCCTCCCTTTAAGGCCCCCAACCCTGCCAAAAGCTTCATGCCCGGTGCCATTCGCCTCTCTTTCAGCCATGGGGGAAATTGGGAGACTACAAACCATTGTGGGGGGGAATCAAGGGGTGCCAGATGATGCTCGAGATGTGGTAGAGAGTCTTTTTGAGGTTGGTTGGAGTCATGGGAGATGCCATTCCCAGTGGCGGCTCCCAGACTGTGGAACTCCCTGCCACTGGGGGCCAGACAAGTGTTTTTAGTCTTGAGTTTACTTACCGTTTTTCATATATGACTTGTTTCATCTTTTAAATATTTGTGTACTTACTGTATTTAGCTTTTAAATATTGTCTTTTTAATGATCTCAGCCACCTTGGGTCCTTTTTAAGGAGAAAAATGGGTGGGTGCAGAGGGTGTGTGCAAAAATATTTTAAATAAATAAATAATTTTGGGTGCAGAGGGTGTGCGCAAAAATATTTTAAATAAATAATTTTCTTTCAACTGCAGGTGGTGGAAATTTCTTTCAACTTCTGGTACCGACTGGGGGAGCACCTTTACAAGACAGACAACGCCGTCATCCATAGCATCTTCAAGGCCTACATCCAGAGGCTCCTTCACGCACTTGCTCGGCACTGTCAGCTGGATCCAGACCACGTATGTCCCTTCTTCGGCAGATCCTTCCTGCCCCTCCCCCAGCAGAGCCTGCTTCCCATTCTTTCTAGTACCTTATAGAACTAGAAGCAAATTGGTTTATCCCCCCCTAAATGTAGAGACGTCGCTTTACGCGGTGATCAGAAAGTACTTCTGTATTTCCTCCTGTTTGGTGGAAGTGATTTTGAGCAACGGGAGCCCCAAGTAAAGGTGGCCGCAGGTTTGATGCCTGTGCCTTTCCCTCTTTTCCACCTGCGCGAACCGCTTTGCTTGGCCTTCCTGGAGGAGGAGGAGGAGAGGTCTGCCTGAGGCATGCCCAGAGGTGGTGGTGGGAGTGGGGGAAAGAAGTCACTTTTGGGGACTCCGGCTTCAGGAATCCCTCAGCCAGCAGACCAGCTGTGGTATTTGGGAAGTTGGAAGTCCAAAAATTAAAAATAAATGAGTCGCTCAAGCACTTTATGGGCTCGCAGGAATTAAAAATTAAAAAATGACACCTGTTGCTAAGTAGGAGTGGAAGTCGAAAGGAAAGGTGTTGAAGAAGAATTGTGTGTAGTGAGTATCCCTACGAAGCAATTTTAAAAAATATATGTTTATCTGCTTGCAAGAAAGATTCTCATTCCTCTAAGCTCGACTGGGTAGCTTTACTTACCAGGAGTGCATTTTGATGAGTAAAACCTTTTGTGCTTCCTTTGTACGCCCTGAGGAGTACAGAGCACTCACCCGGCTGCTCTCGTTCTCCTTTGGGGGGGGGGTTGACTCGCAGACCTTCCCTGGATGTGAGAATCGTATGGAAATCACAGTATGTCAACCTGCCGTAAAAAGGACCTCTTAACAATTGTGCTACTTTTCGTAGGGACACTGGTTTGGTTTTGTTTCTCTTCCAAGCGCTTGGAAAAACATTCCTAAATCTAAGACACCCGACAGACGAAGCTAGGCAGATCTTGCCTTGTATCCCGTCTGGCGCCTTTGGAGGTCTTCTCTGCAGGCCTCTATGGGTTCCCCGCCCCACATCCCCAAATGACCTTCTGGCCTTGGGCAGTGCTTAGCAGGAAAGTAGGGGTTCCAAACAGCCAGGGTTGGATGCTGGTTGCAGTGAGAATGGAGGAGACAGTGTACAAAGGGGGTTGGCTTGGGGAGTTGTCCCCATGTGTTATTCTCCCTGTTTAAATTCTGTTCCTGCCTCCCTCCCCCCCAGCAAAGAGCAGGCGCAAGGGCGAGGCCCTGAAATCTCAGCACACTCAGGAGGAGGGATCTCAGCCATGAGTGGCAAGATGGGGAAAGGCTCATGTATTTGTAGGAAGTTTCTGTGTTCCAAAACTGTTCCTTGCTTTTCCATCCAGTTCTCTGCCTGGAACGCATGCCCCCCCTTTTTTGCCTAATACTCTCAGAAATGAACTCTGTTCACCTCTAGGATAATCTTTGACTCACAGGCAGGTCAGCGCATTCCTCCGTTGATACGAGGCAGGGTCGGGGAGATGTGGAGCACGAGAATCCTGCAGCCTCACAGAGCTTTGCCCTGTTGTGGGGGGAGCGGGGAAGGGGCTATCAAAATGGGAAGCTGTGACTCCCGGCTCTGAAGCATCCCGGAGCTTGACTGGCAGTTTGAAAGCTGCTCCAGGGGGCCCTTTAAAAAAATAAAACAGAGGTGGTGCAGAGGGGGATTCCTCAGCAATGGTGCACGTAGGTAGAATACCCGGTTTTGAGAAAGAGGCCGGTTTCAACCACCTGTATCTTGAAGAGGGAGAAAATAGCCCCTGTTGGCAACTCCTGCTGTAATTTCTCATGTTTTTAAAAAAATGAAGGCTCTGTCCACTCTCACGCCCTCCCTCCCCCTTGTACCCCGTTTCTTCTTCTAGGAAGGGATCCCCGAGGAGACCGACGACTTTGGCGAGTTCCGGATGAGGGTCTCCGATCTCGTGAAAGATCTGATCTTTCTGGTTGGCTCCGTGGAATGTTTTGCCCAGGTGAAGGTTTTTTTTTAAACCCTACCAAAACTGGGGGTGGCCTTGTCAGATCTTGTGGGACTGCCTGGGATAGACCCTTGCAGTTTCTGGCCTGAGGCAGTTCCGTCTGTCCTCTGCGTCTGTGTCGGCTTCTAGTTACTCTGCACTTGCTGGTTGCAATTGGGTTGCTGTTTCATTGAGGGGTCCGTCTGTCCTCTGCGTCCATGTCGGCTTCTCTGCACTTGCTGGTTGCAATTGGGTTGCTGTTTCATTGAAGTCTTGCGCTTTGGGCTGTTGTCCCTCTCCAGTCGTGTGAACCTCTCTGTTCTCGTGCCCCAAATTCCAAGCTTGAACAAGTGTTTTTCCCCTCCAAATGTTCACTTTCCTGAGTGTTCCTGTTCTGAGCTGAAAGCTGTTGGGGGGTCCCTCTGATGCAACGTTGGCCCTGGGGCACAGCAGCCCTGATGGGGGAGGGCAATACTTTGATACGAGGTTCCTGGCTCTTGCGTGACCTCTCCTCTCAGCCAGAGCTCTTCCCCTTCCTCAGTTCAACTTAAGACTGATTCGGTTTCTTCTCCGCAGCTTTATGCCACCCTGGTTGATACATGGGGTTCCTGGCTCTTGCGTGACCTCTCTTCTCAGCCAGAGCTCTTCCCCTTCCTCGGTTCAACTTAAGACTGATCCCGTTTCTTCTCCGCAGCTTTATGCCACCCTGAAAGAAGGTCACCCTCCTTGGGAAGTGACGGAAGCGGTTCTCTTCATCATGGCCTCGATAGCCAAGAGCGTTGACCAGTGAGTCTTGGGAGAGAGACTCCCATGCTTGGGAATCAGGCACAAGAACCCCCCTGCAGTTCCCATGGGATACAAGATTATCTTACTCGGCAACCTGTCGGCTGTGGGGCAGACAGTGGACAGACAACGCCCTGGCCCCTCCCCGTGCCTTTGTTTAAAACCCTGGGCACCACATGGTTTAAAAAAGGGAAACAAGGATCCTGTTGGGTTAATGCCATGTAAACTCCGAACTGCATATAAGACGTGTGTCTCATTCCTTTGTCTGGCAGTCGAGTGCTCGGGGCACGCTCAGGTCAAGCCCTTGATTTACCCAGATGTGCCAAGGAGGGTCCAAAAGTTGCATAAGCTACTTGTGCAAAAAAAGGGGGGGGAATGCATCGGTGGTTGAGAGAGAAGAGACATGCGCTTTTTGCTTGCGTGAAGACCTGTTCTCAGGGCGTTTTTTCCCCCAGGGTCCTGCCGTTTCCCTCCCTCTGTGGATCCTCATAACGGCTGTTTTCCAGTGTGAGATTCTAGGAGCCGTCCTGAGATATATGCAGGGCGCCGATAGCCGAGTGCTGGTCTGGGGCTTCTGATGCTGCTGGGTGTCTCCTTTCCTTTAGCCCCTTCCCTGAAAGCATGAGGAGCTCCTGAGGGCGGGCAGCCTCCTGGAGGAAAGGGAGCCCGCTGTTGGCTCCGAGGGCGTGGGCCACCCCGGAAGGTGGCAGGTTTTCTTTCTCAGACAAACAAACCGTGGGGTGCCCGTCCCGTGGGGATCTTTAACTATGGGTGTCTTGGCACAGCGGGGGAACAGGATGACCCCAGGGTCCCTCCCCGCTCTGCCATTCTGTGGTCTCTTTAAAAGGGGGCCGAGGCGAGGAAGCTTGATGGGTAGAGCTCCCGCTTCATAGGCAGAATGTACCTGGGTTCTGGACTCCTGTTTTGGAGGGCCACCATCGGAAAGGGTGGAGAGCCCATTAGAGACAGGGGCTGACTTGGTCTAGGGCTGGCATCCCATCCCTCATTCTCGCCCGCTTAACGACAAAGGGACCTTGAGTTGGGAAGTGCTGGGGTGACGAGAAGGTGGCGGAGGCAGCATCACTCGCCCAGAAGGGGGGCAGGAAAGCAGTCTTTCTTTCCCGAGAGCATTTCGTGCCCCTCTTCATTGATGACCCACTTCCTCTGGAAGGTAGTCAAACCTCCATGTTGCCTCAGCATCTTTAGCAGGGCCTTGTTCATAGATCTCAGTCTGACAAAGCAGGCTCGCCTAGAAGGTGGGGGATCATCTGGGATCTGGTGTCTGTTTCACAGGCCTGAGCTGGACCGGTTCCCGCTTCTGTTTCTAGAAGCTAGTAAGGGGTGGGTGGGGAGCGGTCGTTCCCTCTCAAGCCCAAGATGTGACACAGCTTGGCTCCCGACCACTGATTTAGCTGCTCTGGGATCTGGGATTCGACCTCCTGCTTCAGTGGTGGGGCTTCTAGGCCCTTTTTAAGGCTCCTCTGTAGTTCTCCTTTGTGGTCTCTGTCGACCACGCCGTTGGGGGGTGGGGGGGGCTTGTCCCTGCGCAGAGGACCTATTCCAGAACATTCCAAGCTGAGCCGACTGGGTTTGCTTGCTACTACTGTGTTAGGTCTGTTGCACCTCCACAATGAGGACTAGCAAACTGAAGCACATTCTTTTGCTTGGGGGGGGGATAAAGATTGAGAAATTTTGAAGAGAGACCGGCCGAATTCACTGTTTCTTCTTGCCACAGAGAGAACAACCCGACGCTGGTGGAGGTCCTGGACGGGGTGGTGCGCCTTCCTGAATCGGTGCACGTGGCTGTCCGCTACACGAGTATAGAGTTGGTGGGCGAAATGAGCGAGGTTGTGGACAGGAACCCTCAATTCCTTGGTGAGTGGAATGGGCTGCTGCAGCGGCTCTTAGCTTTCCTTGCTCCCTAGACCGGCAGGCTCAGCCCCAGCAGGCGGCCGTCCAGTGCTGGAGCCTCAGCGCGAGACCCGATGAGTGCAAGATACCAGAGTTCGGTTGGGTTGGTTGATGCTCTCGCTCTTAAGTTCAACAAGCTGTAACAGTGAATCAGGGACGGCATAGCCATTCAGCGTTTCTCCGGGAACACCGTCTCTAGCACAGTCATGGGGGGGGGGACGGCAGGCGTTGCCACCCGGTGTGATCTGCAGGACGTCATGTTGGGGAGGGCGAAAAAAATATTCCTTTCGAGCATTGACAGACTCCTGCTCTGCCTTCCATTATTGTAATCCGTAGAATTCCTTCCTCCTGTAGGGTAGGCCAGTCTTATCATTCCCCCATCGCGGGCGGGGGCTGATGTTGAGGGACAGTGGGGGGCTGGAAGGCCACTCCCCCGCCCTCCAGATGAATTCAGTGCAGGAGAAGAAGCCTAGGGCTCTTAAGGCTGGCCTGCACAGGATGCAGGAGGAGCGGAGGGTGTGTGTGTGCATGCAGGTTTTCCTTGTCTCTCTTCAGACTGAAGGGCAGGGTGGCTGGCTTTCGGAATTGTCCTCCCAGCCTGCGAGGAAGCAGCAGTTAATGCGGAGGTCTACAACCTGTTTCTTCCCTTTATGCCGCCCTGAAAGAAGGCAACCCTTCTGGGCGTGCTAGCCTTTTGTGGATGCGCCCAGCCTTCAGCAGGTCGAGAGTTTCACGCTGGAAGGGGTGCCCTCAGGCTGCAGCCAGAAATAGTCCCAGTCCAATAGTGGGTCGGTCACCTTGACCGGTTCCTAAAGCCTCGTGTGACATCGTGGTTCAACTGCAGTCCTGCAGCCAAACCTCTGCTCACAACCCGGGTTCCATCCCAGGTAGCTGGCTCCGAGGTTCACTCAGCCTTCCGGAGTTGATCCATTGGAGTACCCAGCTTTGCTGGGTGTGTGTGTGGTGTGTTTACAGTTAAATTATAAACCACCCCAGGAGTGCTTTGAGCGCTATGGGACAGCATAGAAGCAGCACACTTTTTTCCCTTTGCTCCTGCTGAGCCTGGTCTCCATGAGAGTAAGTGACGCCTGTGCAAGCGGTCAGCGGAGGAGGGCCTTTTTTTTAACAGGCGGAAGGAGAAGTTGTTTCTATCCCAGACTTTTGGGCTTGTTTTCTGCATGTGGGTCCTTTAAGACAGGCAGCCTTGGTCTGCCGTCTTGAAAAATGGAGACTCTCCTCTTCCCGGGCACTCGGAAGTCCTTCCAGCTGCAACAAGGTC